TGCAAAGGCATACGTTCTGCACCCCCAGTCTCGCACCCATGTGCACACCCCACCCACCCTTCCCTCACTCTCTCTCCAGCCCACTGTTCCTGCCTTCTGCACCACTCACACCCCACCCTGCAACTCTGCAACCCGGGTTGACACTGGCCCCGCCCCACACTTCCCACACACACCACCGCCTTTCTGCGGCGGGTCTCCCACTCCAGTCCCTAATGCCTCCCCCAGCAGTCAGCCCCTGGGCCCCACACTTTTTCTCTATGTCCCTCCTGCCTGCCCCTGCCTTCTGAGGCCCCTACACGCCCCCTGACAACTCAAGGTCACAGCCTGGCCATCATCGCCCTCCGTTCCAGCTGCTGGGGGCTGAGCTGGGGGCGGGAGCTGGAGAAGGGCACAGCCGGTTGTCCCTGGATCCCAGGCCCCTCTCTCACTTGGTCATTTCCCATCCCGCCCTTCCCAGGTTCTAAAACCCAGGAGCCCTCCTCTCCCCTTCAGGCCAGCCCAGCTTGCCACCGCTACCCTGCGCCCCCAACCACACTTCCTCCAAGAGGCCACTGGTCTCCCAGGCCTTGAAGTCCATCGCCCTGCTCCACCTCCAGGCTGGGCCCCTCCAGCCTCTGGCACCGCCCTAGATGGGGGCGAGGCGCTCAGTTCAGAGCCGTCTTTCTCTTCTCCCTGGCTGTGTGCTACTGACCAGGAACTCCTGGAGAGGGGACCAGCAGCCTCCCTCCCAGGTTCCAAGCTCTGCTTCCTTTCTGTGTTGCCTCCCCTGTTTCTCTCTGCATCCCAGTCCCCTACATGTTGTTTGGAGCAGGGAGGGCAGGGTCAGGTGTCCTGCAAGCAGCAAGGCATCAGGGGACACCCAGGGAAAGCAGGCCAGGGTCTTCTAGCTGGGCACAGGGGTACGGGGCCTTCAGGAGAAGATGGACTGTGGCCACTGGGGCCCACCAGACCAGTGTGGAGGCTGTTGCTGGTGGCTGCCCAGCTAGCTAGGAGCTGAGATTAGGGTGATCTCAGAGGGGTAGGCTTGGGGTGGGGACTGGAGCTCTCAAGTAGGTATATCTAGGATGAAAGTATCAAAGGTGGGGGATAGGGGGAAGGTGTGGCACTGCTGTCTGCTGCCCAGGGTGGGGTGAGGGGGCTGGGCTTTACATGGCAGGGTTCATGCCAGTTGCAACCTGAGTTGCACATAACCCCAGTGCCAGGGTTCCAGAGGGTGGTGACTGGACAGGCCCTTACCCAGCCTCAGGTGTCCTTCTCTACCCTAGTAGAGAAGCTGCAGGGGAGAGGTGGAGGTCAAAGATGAAGCTGGAGAGCTTGGTCCTGCGTCTGGGGGACCTGAGGCTTCCCACTTCTTTGTATAAAGTGCTGACTCTGTTAAGGGCCACATCTGACACCAAACTGTGACATTGTGCTCAGCGATGTAGCCAAAAGTTAGGTTCAAAGTTGTGTGGCTTGAAGGAGAGGTGGGTTCTGGGGTGCTGGGCTGTATCTGGGAGTCCAAGCAGGGGCCAAGGTCCACTGTGAGAGGGTAGCAGACATGGGGTCTCAATGGGGCATACTCCTCCGTGCTCAGTCCCAGCTTCTCGGTTCCTCAGCCACCTGGACCTTCCAGCAGAAGGCCTGGGGGTTCTGGATGCAGAGGCCAAGTCTCCCCAGCCTCTAAATGGCCCTGAGAGGCCTGGAGGACCAGTGAGGGCCTTTCTTCCTCCTTCCCCTTTGTCACTAGATACAGCCCGTCACTTCTCTGCATGACTCTTCCTAGAAGCCACCAGTGCATCCACACAGCGAATCTGCCAGAGGAAATACAGGACACCCAGTAAAATCCCAAGTTCAACTAATAATTTATGTTTTTGTCTTTAAAAAAAATAGACTATTTTTTAGAGCAGTTTTAGGTTTACAGAAAAATTGTACAGGAAGTGCAGGTCCCCACAGGTCCTCTCCGCCCCAGCCCTCATTAGTGACACTTTGCATTGTTGGGGCAGTGTGCTGCAGTGAATGAGCACCAGCACATCATTGTTCACTAAAGTCCAGGCACATTTGGGCTCCCATATGCCCCATCCTCCCTGTCCAGGCACATTTGGGCTCCCTCCTGCCCTGTCTTACCTGTCCAGCCCCTGGTGACCCCACACTTTTCACTATCTCTATAGTTTGGCTTTGTCCAGACCATTCCGTGGTTGGAACCATCTGAGTGCAGCGTGTCAGGGTGTCTCTGTGGTCAGTGGCACATCCATCATCCTCTGCGTCTGTTTGTGGTTTGATGGCCCATTTCCACTTAGGGCCTAGAGGACCTTGGTTTGTCCACTCGCCTGCTGATGGACATCTGGGCTGCTCCCAAGTTTAGGTAATTTGAATGAAACTGCTGCTCACATCTTCACGCAGGTTTTGTTGTGGATGTGGTTTCCACTCATTCCGGGGAACACCTAGGAGCCCATTGCTGGGTCACAGGTGAATTAAACTGGCTTTCTGAGAAACCGCCCAGCTGTCCCCCAGCAGCCGCCACATCATGTCCAGCAATGCCGAGCACTGTTGCTGCTCCACAGCCACGTGGCACTTGGTGTCATTGGGGTCCAGGCTGCGGGCATTCTTGGAGGTGTGTAGGGGCACATTTTCCACTACTGAGCCTTCTGTAGGGGCAGCCCTCAGCTGTGGATCTGGAGCTCTGTTCTAAAGGATAGCGGCAGTTTCACCTGGAAGGTGCCTCTGGGCTGCAGGCGAGGGACAGTGAGGAGGTGGAGCAGGGGGGCTATCCCGCACATGTCTAGTCATTTGTTCATTCACACACCCATTCACTTATCCCACCAGGATTTAGTGGAGACCAACTCTGCATAGTGTCCTTCTGGGGTGTGTGTGGCCAAACAGTGCACAGAGAACCAGGTTGACAGACCCTATGTCTCTGTGGCAGAGATGCACAGCACCCCAATAAATGAGGGAGATATTGTGAAGATGTGCCAGGAGCTGCGGTGGGGCTGCAATCTGACACAGGAGGTCAGAGATGCTTTCCCCACCATGCCCAGAAGTGATCAAATGTGAGGGGAGGCAAGTGCGAGGGCCCTGCGGGTAGATGGTGCAGGGGTCACCGGCTGGAGCCTTCTGAGGCCCACTGCTGCTTGAGGAGGGCACCCATCCCTCTTTGTGGAATCTGAATGAGGGAGTTCCCAGAAAGGCAGGAGTGGAGGGAACTGGGATTAAGAAGGGACACTTGGGGGGTGGGGGTGGGAAACAGGCCTTTCTGTGTAGGGAGCACGGGGGTGAGGTTGGCTGAGGGGAGCTGGAAGGCAGGAGTGGGGGGCTTGTTGGGCAGTAGGAAGCCTCCCTGTCCACTGATGACCATTACCGGTCTCACAGCACCACTGGGCCCACCTCACCTGAGCTCAGGAGTCTGAGACCAGCCTGAGCGAGAGCAAGACCCTGTCTCTCCTAAAAATAGAAAAACTAGATGGGTGTTGTGGTGGGCTCAGGTAATCCACCCGCCTCAGCCTCCCAGAGTGTTGGGATTATAGGTGTGAGCCACTGCGCCCGGCTCAGTGTTTTCATTATACACCCTCTTATCTATCTGTCCTATGTGATTCAAAATATTTTATCAATAGTCAATTGCCTTTTGATTATTTTTATTTTTATTTATTTATTATTATTATTATTTTTTGCAGTTTTTGGCCAGGGCTGGGTTTTTGAGCCTGCCATCTCCAGCATATGGGGCCAGCGCCCTACTCCTTTGAGCCACAGGCACCACCTTGCCTTTTAATTTTTTTAAATAGCTTTATCAAAGTAGAGTTGACATACAGGAGTTGCACAATTTAAAGTGCAATTTGACCAGTCTCAACCTGTGTGTGCACCACGAAGCCACCACCATCAGGGACAGCACACCAATTGATCCATAGTGTCCTTGTGCCCCTCTCTGACCCTCCTACCCCAACCAGGGAGTGACCTGGGCAGTCTGTGTTTGAGGACAGTGTTGTATGTGGGAAGTCACACGGTGAGGGCTTTGTCTGTTCTGGCTTCTTTCCCTTCATGGGACTGTCCTGTGATGCATTCATGCCGGGGTACGTGTCAGTGAGACGTTCATTCTGTGGTCAGAGCATGGATACACCACAATCTGTTTATCCTCTCATTTGCTGATGGACATTGTGGCTATTTCCAGTTTTTGATGATTAAAAATAATGCTGCTATTTAAATTCACATACGCGTCTTTGAAAGGATATACATTTCCTTTTCTAGAGGGGAGAGACCTAGAAATAAAATGACCATATCCCATGGGAGGTGTATGTTTGTGACTTTTTCAGAAGCTCCAAACTTATCATTTGGCACTCCCACCTGAGGTGGGCTTCCTCCACGCCCGGCCAGCGTGGGAGTGGTCAGTCTTTTAAACTTCATCCTTCCCTAGACAGTGCTGTTTTTTGCATGCCCCTTACTTGCCAGTCATTCTTCTTGTCTGGGGAAATGTCTGTTCAGAACTTTTGCCCATTCTTTTTAAATCGGGTTGTTTCTATTCTTACTGTTGAGTTTTGAAAGTTCTTTATGTGTCCTGGATCAGCCCTTGGTGAAATATATACTTTGCAAAGATCATCTTCCAGTTGTCATTTGAAGACCAAGTTTAACACATTTCTGATGAATTCCAATTTGCCAACTTGTTCTTTTAGGGATTGCGTTTTTGATACCATGTCTAACAAATCTTTGCCTAATCCAAAGACAAAAAAAAAAAAAAAAAAA